TCCCTGCTTCCCTCAGTGCTTGGCAAGTACAGATCCGCTTTCCATCTCTGGATGTATCTATTTTGCATAGTTCATATAAATGGAATCAAACAATGTGAACTTTTGTGCTTTCTTTTACTTGGCATGATATTTTCAAGGTTCATCTGTGTTGTAGTATGTATCAGTACCTCATTCCTTTAAATGGCTGAACTAGTACTCCTTTGTATGGATATTCCACATTTTGTTACATCCTCTCACCGGCTGATGGGCATCTAGGAGTATTCTGAATGAAGGGAGAAAAAGAGTAGTTTATACCCTGCCCTGTGCTGTGCCCCTTAATAGCCATGTGACCATGGACAAGCTACTAAACTGGCTTCTGCTTTTCTTTATTTGTTAAATGAAAATTAATAATAATATCTAACTCTTGGGGCACCTGGGTAGCTCAGGTAAGTGTCGACTTCGGCTCAGGGCACAATCTCACGGTTTGTGAGTTCGAGCCCTGTATCAGGCTCTGTGCTGACAGCTCAGAGCCTGGAGGCTGCTTCGGATTCTGTGTCTGTCTGTCTGTCTGTCTGTCTGTCTCTCTCTCTCTCTCTCTCTCTCTCTCTGTCCTTCCCCTACTCTCTCTCTCTCTAAAAAATAAATAAAACATTAAAACTTCAAAAAATAATATCTAACTCTTCAAGTGGTTGAAAGATTCAGTAAAGGAAGTTCATAGCATAGTACTGGCAAATAGTGGGCCCTCATAAACGTTAGCTATTCTGCTGTAGGATCATATGAGCTGGGTGGGTGGGGGGAGAGAAAGCACAAATTTGTGTTATGGTAGGTGTTTTACTGTGTTGCCTTTGTGCTTGATTGTGTATGTTTTGTGTTTTTTTGTTTTTTAAAGGCCTTTCTGTTTTCTCTGCTTCGTGGTTTGGTGTTTTCGTGCCTCCCCAAACTGCAACCCACCCCACCCCCCCCACCCCCACCAATGAACATGGAATTTTACATTTAGAAGCAGTTCACTAGACGGAACGTCTGTAGTGGAATGTTACATAATTCACATTTAGATTTGAAGAGCTCATTATAAAAAACCTGACACACTTCAGGAATATTAAATTACTGCAGATTGTGTGGAGCAAAGAAACATTATTGAAGCATTTCAAAATTCTAGGCGAGCCTGAATTTAACTGATAGGGTCCCTCAGCTTTTACTGGGGGAAAATGATTTGAGTTGTCACGTGGTTTCTGGCCCTGGGGGACTTTAATCTCCTTAATTACAAAGAAATGAATTTCCTAAATAATTTGGAGTTACTTCACAGCATATTCCAAACCTCTGGCTTTTGGAAAATTAAAGGGGATGCCAGAGTCTGGGCCATGGTATGGGCTCTCCGTGCTGCAGCTTCCGTATTTAAGTTTTTATTTGAAATGATGTTGGTTTCCTTTCATTATTGATAACGGGATGTACTTCAGAAATCTACAAGTAATGCTTTATAACACTTGAACACAGTCACAGTTTTGTCGAACAAGCGGTGCTGGAAGTACCCACAGAATAGGGAGAGGTGCTATATTGTGCTTTTTATACAAAGTTGAAGGGGAAAGAATGGCCCAGTTCCTAACCAGTTTTATATACAGACTTTTAAGAGTGGTTGGAATTGTGTAAAATCTATATATTTCAGCTCCTTTTATTATTTATGTGTTCGATACCTACTGGGTGCAAAGCAAGCACGATGGACGTATCTCTTGGAATTGTGTAAATTCTATATATTTCAGCTCCTTTTATTATTTATGTGTTCGATACCTAC